GCACTCCTCATGGGCGGCGTCCATCTCACCCTCATCCTTCCCAATCCCGATATTCTGGACGAACTGGAGCCCGGTCTGGTAGACGCTGTCGCACGCGTTGCGAATATAAGCCTGGATATTAAATGTGAAGTCAGGATATCTTTCTGGGTGGCCTGATTGAGAAAATAAATTTAAATTCATTGACTGAATGAGATGGTCGCTTTAGGAAAGTAGTATACTTGTATTTGATAATCGTTGTTATTGTAATTGTTATTATTATTATTGTTATTATTATTATTGTTATTATTAATAGTATAATTATTAATATCATAATCATCATTAATTATCATCATTACTAGCAATAATTATCATGACTATTATCATTATTATTATTATCATTATTAAATTTATCATGGACAAACCTTTGGGGTACGATATCTTGTCTCTCCATGGACGACCACGGCTCTCTCCTCGCTGACGTCCATCTTACCCTCACCTTCCCCAATCCCGATATTCTGGAGGAAGTGGAGCCCGGTCCGGTAGACGCCATATACTAAGGGGTTGCGGATGAGGGTCCAGATCAGGGAGATCAAAAACATGGTCTCGATTTCATCAACACGAACTTCACCAACCTGTGACGTTGTCTCATCGTCACTGGTGACGTCATTTCCTGAGGGGCCGCTAGACAGGTAGCTGCTGCTACCCTCCTCTATTTTCAATAAGAAATTTAAAAATATATATTAAAGGGTGAAAATCTCAAAACTTGTAAAAAGGGTCAACATGTTGGTGTGTGTGTGTGAGAGAGATAGGGAGGGAGAGAGGGGAGAGAGGGAGAGAGAGAGAGAGAGAGAGAGAGAGAGAGGAAGGGGGGAGGGGGAGAAAATTTATGAGCATGTAAATCATTACATTCACAGCCGGGTGAGTCAATTGGATAAACCTCAAAGTAATATCATTTTATGCTTTATTATCAATATATTGTAGAAATTATACACGTATTTGTAAAATTGAAATATAACAGTTAATAACAACAACAAAAAGCTTACCTGTCTGATCCAAACTCTTGGCCTTGCTGATCTGGACAATGTCACACTTCTTGACCATCATAGTCTGGTCAGTCTGTGAGCTGGTCTCATCCTCACTGGTCTCATCCTCACTGGACTCTTCGCTTGTATACTTGATCTCACGCTCGGCCTCCTGATCAACACTGCAATCGTCGTCGGTGTCTTGAGATGGAAATAATGAAGAATACCACACAATACAGATTTGACAATGAGCCATGTAAAGTCATTTTAAGATATTACTAGCGCATCAAGAAAGAAGTTTTATATTAAGACTCCCAGGCACCAAATTAGTATTTCTCCTACCCCACCCCCTCACTCTCTCTCTCTCTCTCTCTCCCTCTCTCTCTTGTAAATCTCCATTTGAAGAAGAAAAAACATATCCCTTGATATATTTTCTCTCCTCTCTTTTTCCTTAGTGTTTATTTTTGGTCTATCTATTCCATGTCTGTCCTAATTCTAGAAATCTCCCGAAAAAAATATATCTCTTTTAGTTTTATTGAATTTTCTTACTCAGCATAAGTTAATTATTCTCGGTTGCCCTTCTTTTAATATATTATTTCTTATAATTACTTACATTCATCCTCAGAATACACAAGGCCAGGGCCTGAAGCCTTGTCGTCATCAGCGTTGGACTCTACATCGGCATTGTCCGCATCTTCGTTCCCGTACTCGACATCGGATGTCACCGACTCGTCATCGTTCTCCTCGTCATTGATGAAACGATCTATCGTGAGGGACGTGAACTAGACTTAACATACCGATTTCTAATACGTATGTGAATCTATTTTCTCCTCTCAAAGATTAAGAATTTCTTATCCCTTATTTATTATTTCTTCTTTCTCCTTTTTCTGCTTCTCCTTCATCTTACCTTTTTTCGAAACTTAATATCACAAATTTTGACTTAAATATATACTTAACCGTTCAGACTGTAAGTATTGTCTCGTGTTGTTTTATGCAAAAGCAGCACAATGAATGCATAAAGAAAATCCATAATATTCCTTACGAAAAATATGTTTGATTTCATTCACACATCGTCAATATCATGTTTTCTTTCTTAGATATCGTGCAGAAACAAGACTATTTGGTATAACAAACAATTTATAATAAATAGAGTGTTGTTTAAACAAATATTTATTTTAAAAAGACACCTTCAAAGCCACAGCTGTTAACGAGCAATTTTTGACACTTGCAAAGAGAACGACCGCGCAACTTACGGTAGGACAGGAAGTACTGAGAAGAAACCCTCACGTCCTTCGGATAGGACGTAGAGGGTAGCTCTTCCTCGACCTTGCTCAGTGCTGCTGGCATCATGGCCTGGTGGCGATCTTGGCCAAGTACAGCAGGGGCAGACCAAGATTTCCGAAGTGCCCATGGCTCGACGCCAGTGGCTGAGTGGATCGAAGTAGCAGATGACTTGCTGAAGTCGTTGACAAGGACGGCCTCATCATTGTCGTCATCACTGTCCATATCGTCCTCCATCACGTGCAATACCATCGAATTTGGCTATGATAATTTACCATAAACAAATATATTATATGATATTGCATATTGTGGCATGATATATCTGTATATTAATTTTGAGATTGGAGCTAGTTCGATTCTTCTAAATTGGTGGAATCAGCTGTACAGATTGTTTTTTTTTCCCTTTTTTTTTTGGGGGGGGTCTCTGTTTGTTTCGTCAACCAAGGCATGATTTTTTTTTTTACTGAACCTTTAAAGTATAAACTTTTATATGTACTTCCTAACTTATGTCATATCAATCTAAAATACTTGCATAGAACGATTGTTCTTAACAATACGAATATTTATAATTCTAATATAGCAGCCTGTCTCTCTAGTTATACTGTGTAATTGTAAATGTTAATGTTTTAGTGACAATGCAAGGCGATTGCATTAATCAAAAAGTTATTTATATAATGTTAAACTGGTCATGAACAGTTTCATTACTGAATTTCTAATTGTAAACTAAATTTTATTACTGGTTTTATAAACATCGATTGTAAACTTTTATTACTGTCAACCATATTTTCGTATTCTTCCATTCTTTTTTTGTTTTGTTTATGTTTTGTTTTCTCCTCCTTATTTTTCTTCTTCTTCTTCTTTCTTTTGATTCCTTTTATCATATCAATTTGAATACTGCATATCTTAATTTCATATCAGAGTATATTAAAGTGTACTATTTGGATGTATTTTAGTCTATATGTTGCAGTTTTATTTTTAAATTCAAGATGTGACAGTTTAAAGCCGTTTATCAATAAACTTTATCGATTCAATTCGATTCATTTCAATAATTAAAGCTTGCTATACGGATTTAGCTATCTGAGCATTTCATGTTGTATAAACAGGTATATTCTGTCAATTTAAAGAACAGTTGTCATCACTGTTCATTTCATCCCCATTATGTGCAATTATAATACAATAGCTAAACAAAATTAATTATAGATTGAAAGTACTTTGATTATTTCAAAGTTGTTGAAATCATCCATTGAAATTTCATCAAATTTTTATCTTGCATTATCCCCTAAATAATGTAATTCACGGCAGACTATATCTAAGACAAGAATGAACAGTATCACACTACATGGCTTAAATAAGTGGTTATATTTAATTAACAGACTTTGTATCTAATTGAAACTTCATTCTCTAAACTTCCAACAATTTTGTATATATTAGATCTATGTATCGCCAGTCGCATTAATTATTCGTTAAATATATGATTTCTTCGACAGACACCTAGTTGCAGATTGAATTCAAAATATGAATTTATAGGTCTACACCTTTTACAAAGGACATGGCATATCAATTATCAGTGGTGAATCTTAATAAAATCGTCGATAAAATATAAGGGGCAAATCCTGCCAAGAAATGAAGGGACTAAAGTATGGGGAGCCCCAAGCCCCATTTTTTGCTGGATACGCCACTGCAGATTGGGTAAGAAACGGAAAAAATGGGACTTTGCAAACATTATCTGCCCTTACCTTCTTGCTCTTGGAGAACAATTTTCTGATTCCTGCCCAACAGCAGGTCTCAGGGGTCTCAGAATGATCTTCAACTTCCTCATCGAAAGACAAAGATCGGGGTCTGGATTTAGCAGAGCCCATTTTGAAAATTGCCAAAAGGTTTCGAAAGAATTTTCGAAAATCGCTCAAAAACTCTCCGAAAGCTATGTGCGCAAGAGAAATGAATTTAGATTGTCATTTTTGTGTGGGCAGTGCTAGTGGTTACCAGAGATATACGCATGCGCATTGTTAATCATGATGCGCGCTTGCCTCTACGTCAACAATGGTAAGGATGCGCGCGCAGCAAAAGTTTAGTAAGTTTGGCAGGTGCAGCGCAATGTATGAATCTTAAAAAGAGTCATGCAGGTCAAATATTTTGATGTCATTTCTACATCATGATAAGTTGGATAACTCTAGATATCATATAATATTCTCAAACGGATTATTTTGAATTATATCGTTAAATCTACTTTGAAATCAAATCACTTTGATAAGGTATGTAAGTCAACAATGCACCTAAAATATGCGGGCAATATTGGGAGGACTGGTCACTTTACTTTACTATAACCGGTTACTTTATAAGATAATGAATTGAAAAGCGTCACTAGGCCTTTTTCATTTAAAGCACAGTAAAATATATTATATAGTTATATTTACCTCGTTTTCACTAGGACTGAAATTCATGAATATTATTGACCACCTTTATATTTACTCTATTGTTGATTTCTTTCTTTCTCTCTCTCTCTCTCTCTCTCTCTCTCTCTCTCTCTATCCCCTCTTTTAGCCATTCACTAATCAACACTCTTTCTCCTCATATCTACCATGACCGGTCTAATTGGCTTTAAAAATATATAGATGTTCCAGAATTGTCTTGATTTCTAAATGGTTTATATGAATATTTTTAAACGTGTCAACAAAACAAAACAAGATCACATGGCTAAACACAACCCAACGCAAAATAGGCACAGTATTTTTATCTAGATTTTTATTTATCGAAGAATGTACAAATAAATATACCCTAATTCATCAATATGATTTCAGCTCTAAAGTCTGTTATAAAGTACTGGTCTACATTTTGAGGGCCATTAATTCCTCTACTAAGTGAACCTCCTATGGAATGCTGCCTGTGGAATATCCAAACGAGCTAATATCCCGAACAATATTCATTCTTATAGCAGCATGCATGCTAATTTGTGTCCAGTGTTAATTACATCAAATTGGTCCGTCCGGGTCATCTTCGGCCCTTTGATGCTAACGTATTTCCCCCCCGCATTTTATGCGCGTCAGAGGTTGGGATATCTGGTTATGTATATAGGCCAGACATAAACTTTCGTCACCCCAATCCTAACATAATCTTAATGCCCATTAAAAATTGTAGTTGAAACCAATAGAGCATAGTCCAATTTTGATTTTTTTTTCTTCTTTCAACTTTTTCATTCAGAGCAGCATTCCACGCACTTACACTAAAATGGCATCAATATGAACAATCTTCCTCCTACCGTATGATAATAGTTACTACATTTAAATATGTTACAAAATAAAACTTGTTCAAATTTGGCAAATGGTATTTTGGCAATGTCTCGAGTGCAAGTTATAGATATATACATACAGTATAATGAATCGTACAAAAGAAGTATCTTAAAACTGAGATCTATTTATACAGAATGAGAGCTAGTATATATACATATCAAATACTCAAGTTTCTAAATAGTCTCTAAATGATGAAATAGTAATGTTAAAAGCGCACCTATGAAAATAGGCTATATAGTAAAGGGATAAACAAGGACAAAAATCGTGTTATCTGCTAGCAATTCCCAAATGTTGTACTACGGTGAAGCATAGGCAGTGGTAGAGCAGATATGACGCTCACTCTGGCTTCGTTAATCAAATAAAAGAAAACATATATCAAAATTAACAGGTAGGAGCTATACCTCAACAATTCATAAGTAGAGTTCCTTCAGATGAATATGAAATATACTGTGATACTCGAAATGACAGACAATAATAAATTAAAAGGTTTTTACGGAAATTCCACTTGTCAAGGATACACAAGAATGTATATTACGTTATTTTGACCTTATGTCACCCAATAAAATTAAATAGAAAAATTAAAAAATATTTCTTAGCTATTTCACTATAGCTAGCTAAACCAACATACTAATGATTGTCTGCAATTTTAAGATTCAATATTTCATTACGTTTTCTTACTCCTCAAGCAAATCCATGGCAAAGGAAAGACAGCATGGTTTAAATTGACTTCATTTTGCTTTTTTTAAATCTTTATTATCGTACATTTTTGGTGACGTAAAGATTAATTATTTGTTAAATAATCAGTCATGTTCAGAATGGTGGTTGATAATATTATTGTTTTGTTGCACACTTTGCAATGGCCACAAATATATTGCACGGTTGTTTCCATATTTTAAGCAATTTTGTTAATTTATATTATTATGTAAGAGATGGAAAGATAAATCATGACATACTCCGCCATGTCCAATACAGTTGCAACCATTACACATTTGAGACAAAATATGCTATTAGTTCTTTAATGGTTGTTTCCGCGTGGCATAAAAATGTCATTTTGTTAACTCTTGCCAGAACTTGATATTGATATTAATATCCTTGTTAGGACGTTTTTAGCATTTTTGAGCATGAGACCTAAATTTGTGACCAGCTCCAAGGAAACATTTTTTTTATGCGCATATAGCTTATCTTTGTAACACTTATCTTTGTAACAACAATGACGTTTCATATCAAATTAAAAGATAAATGGCAATCTTAAAGAGCAAAATTGCCTACACCCATATGTAATTGCCAACAGCCCGTGCTACATTATTATTTCTGCCAACGAAGTAATTAAGAATATCGTCATTTTAGTAACAATTTTGTGGTAAATTTGGAGACACTTGACAGTGCATTTAGTGCATCATTAAACTGATTTAGTGAAAAATCAACCAAACAACAAAGTGTAAAGAATAATTATGATAAATAATTTTTAATCCTAATGAATACATTTTAGTTGACATTTTATGACTGTAAAGCATTAAGTTCCTCATTGAGAAAATCGAGAAAACTACCAATAGGGGGCAGTTCCGAGAGAGCTCCCTGGTGCAACAGGGCAGCTGCTCTGCTTTTAAAATCGGCATCATCCAGGCGGAAAGTTTTCTGCGCCAAGCAACCGGACTTCGTGCTGGCCAATGGACATGGCAGGAATGTCTTCTGAAGGTAGCTAGGATTTGACCCACCGACAGTATAGTCACTGGACCCACGGACAGCTGATTCCCACTCGGACAAGACGGACTTGTCCTGATAATGCTGGAACGGTTTCTTGTCGCATTGGTCGTAGAGGTCTCTCCGCGAGTACGCTGCAGACGACGACGGCAAATACGATGACTCGTAGTCGGTGTAAGGATGGTTACCCGTCTGTGCACCACTGACAAGCTTGACCTGTACTGCACCATTGACTATATACGACGCACAATACTCTGTCCTTGAAGGAACATGTCCTGTGCAACAGTCCATCGCGTAGCCACTTTTGCTACAATCACCAGACGTGGTGCTAGCTGTTGTCAAAGGGGTTGATGTTGTCCCCTGGTAACCTGACGCAATTGGCGACGGTGGCGGTGACGGTGGCGCCGTCACCCCACACATGGGCTCGCTAGGCATGTACTGCACGTGGTAGGAAGATTCTCCAGGGTAGGCAGATGGTGGCGATGTTTGTGGTGTTGGTGGCAGGTGATATTGGGAGCCGAAGCCTCCATGTGAAGCGATGAGAAAGTCTTCTTGCTGCATCTCTGCGCTGATACGCATGGCGTGCTTCCGATACGAATCAGCATCGTACATCTCAGGAGGAAGGTGCGCAACCATCTGGTACATCGACAACGGCTGGTGCTCAAACCCGCCGTACAATGATGGATCTCCATACCCCAACTGCGGTGGGCTGTAGTAACTGCTTGCCATGGCGTATGGAATGTCCGTCTGTGGCATTGTCCCAACACTCATTTGGAATCCATGATCTTCATTCATGGCATCTTCTTGAATCTTCCTCTTGGCTGAAAACACTCCATGCTCAGGGTTGTCCTGACCCTGATTATCCGATGCCTGATGAAACGTCGAAGGACAAGTGCCATGTGGACTGTGCAACGACACGGAGTAGTCGTCTTTGAGCTTTGGGCCTGTCTGACTCGCTACTACGTATGTGTCATTACTCATCCACCTCCTCCGCGGTACACTGTCCATGTTGCTCGTACTCGTACTGCTACTGCTTGACGGTCCTGCACTGAGTTGGTCAGATTGATCCGTCGACTGCGTTGTCATGAACATCTTCAAAAGGTCCTCCTGTCCGTAACGATTCCTGGATGTAGATTCTTGGCGCAGTAACTGTATGTCTTCCTCTCTGAAATATAGATTAAAAAGAAACTTGAAGCCTCCACACACAACGCCTACATTTTGGTCAATATATTACGCTCAGGTAGAGGAGTCTTTTACATGTAGCCATTCCCTTCGGCAGAAGCCGGATGTTTAAATTGTAAAGAAGTTAAATTTAAGAAACGACAGATATAAATATTTTTTTGAAAATACAGTTCCAATGTTTGTCTTCTGCTTCTTCTCCTATTCTTCTTCTGCTTCTTCTTCTTCTTCTTCTTCTTCTTCTTCTTCTTCTTCTTCTTTTCTTCTTCTTCTTCTTCTTCTTCTTCTTCTTCTTCTTCTTCTTCTTCTTCTTTTCTTCTTCTTCTTCTTCTTCTTCTTCTTCAGTTGCAGTACAGGCCACCGTCAGGTGTATTGTCGTACTGTTGAGGTGCAGTGAGAGGTTTTGCTTGGGGTTTCTTTTAAAGATCATATACAACTCAGAGACTGTGTTGTCCATAGACTCCATACAACATAATATGAAAGCACTCTGTTCTTTCTTACCTCACTGGACTGTGAGCGAAGACAAGAGAATTCTTTCGGCCATTCTTGGTGACCGCATGCCCTCTAGTGTGGAGCCATTGCCAGGTGCCATCCAGACGCATTAGGCGAAAGAACATCGTATGGACCTCATCCGTGTCTATCACTACATGGAGAGAAACGAAAGGAACCGAAAGATGGGGTGGGGGGGCAAGGCGAGAGAGAGAGAGAGAAAAAGAGAATGACAGAGTGAGTAAGAGTTTGAGATAAAATGATGTTTACTTTTGATAACCACATTCTATTGATAACCACTGTCGTCCCTTGTCCACTCATGTGAAGCATGTATGAATGTTAGCTGTTTTCATTTCTAGTATTCATTTTTCCAAGTAAATATATAGGCCTAAGATTTAATAGCAGAGTTAAAGATTTTGCTGCAAAATTGAAAGTGAATCATAGGAGAGGGCAATAATGCGCTGTAAAGAGCTTTACAACAGGAAAGGTGGTATTAAAAAAATATCAGTTATCATTTTTTATCATTTGAAGTTATTTCAAAGAAATCCTTTACAGATGCCACCACCCATATAATAAAAAAAGATCGTACTGCTTTCCACAAAAAAATTATATTAATATCAAAATTTTACCTTGAATAAAGATAATACTTACATGTTTTATGGCAGACATAGACGGCTAGCAGATCGTCAGGATGAATAAGATGATACAAAGATTTGCCTTCCAGATGTGAGGAGTCTATACCAGTAATCTCACAATACCTGGTAAATAAAGGAAATAAAATAATATAAGACCATGAAGATATTGCAAAAAATACGCCATTTTATTGATATTGTATTAACAATAATTGAGCTGAAAGCCTGAAAGATGACAATACCAAAATGAGTAGTCATGCATCCCAAGGAAAAGAAGAAAGGTTGACATGAGATTTGCTTTTAATTAAAGGTAAAGTTAAGATAGTAGTCAGGATGCAGTTTTTAAAAGGCTGCGTTAAAAGTTAGAAGGTGTATCGTGCCCTCTTAACAGCAACAAAAAGAAAGATATTTATTTATCTTCTTAAGAATACTTAAACAATACATATCTAAGACCACAGCAGTTATCGATCAGAATATTATTTCAAAAAGAAAAATCTTTCTTTGTCCACTTTGTCTCCGAACGTCGTTAGCAGCCGAGGAAAGAATATTGTATTTTGATCACGAAGTATTTTTGTATTACATCTACTTTTAACAAGATACAAGATAAGGCCTTTGACTTGATAGACCTTGGGCGGGTCCGACGGTAATTAAAATCTGTTCTACAATGAATCTTGAACAATGAAATTTCAAACTCGTGCATCTAATCTTTAGTGCATCATTGAATACATTGTTCATCATTTGTATAAGATTATATGCCAATCGAATCTTATTTCTTTGGAGATTTTTTTTTGGCGTTGGCTTATCGACTCCAACCGGGATGAGAGGTCGTATTTTTTGTATGAAAAACGATTGCTGTAATGATTGTTAGTTTATTGTTAATAACAAGTGAATTCATTAAATCGTACGTTTTGAAAATCAATTGCGCCAAGATATATAGGGTTTTAATGTCTCTAATTATGATGAGGTCTCAATGAAGCTGCCGACTGAGGTAGATTGCAGAATAATACGTCAGAATTAAGAATCAATTAAAGGTACGTGTGCATGAAGCAATCGTAGGACTATTGCCCACGGTGCGTCATTTTAATGATGTTTGACTGCGTAATAATAATCATAAGAAAAATAATATTAAAAATCGTGATAATAATAATAATAATAATGTTTTCGTGCAACAGATTTTAGATAAATATAAAGGAGCATTGACAGTGAGGACTATATACCTGTTCTCGACGGAGGCGACGTTGAGATCGAGGTCATGTGTTGTCCAGAATGTACCCGGCTTTGATTCTATGTCCGTGTCTGCCGAAAGGAGGATGAAAGGACGAAAGGCGGCAAACAGTACCTGATGAGGAGCGTGGCCAACCCGCTGCGCGTCGGGCAGCGACTTCATCGTGCCTGTACATTGCATTTTCTATAAAATAAAAAAAAAATGAATTAAAGAGATCAGGTAAAAGGGGATCATTGTGCATCTCATACGTATTAATTATCATGAGCAACGGTGTCTAGGCTTTCTAAAGTTCTTATTCTCGTCTTTTCGTTTTAATCCCTCTTAAGTTTGAGTCTTCATTCCCATGTAATTGCTTTGTTCATCATAGTTATTAATACTACCATAGCATATAAACTCAAAAAAGTCAACCAACAGTCAAATCCTTTTATTCAAATTTCTCTTTCTTGTCCATTTCTATTCAAACCTTTCTTCTCTTTAAATAACAAGAAATATTATGTATTCAAAAGATAACACAAAAACATTATAATATCCAAGACTTGACAGAAACATTACATTTAAAAAATAATGGCTGACTAAACCAATAACGTATTCTTTATTAACAAGTTGAGAATCTTACCACGAAGCCAGTGTTTGTGCCGTTGAAACATTTCATTCTGCAGAGAAATGAAATCTCGCGGCTTGCACCGGCACCCCTCAAGGGCATTGTGGTCTCAGCTCCCGACATAGCACCCTGTAATATAAACATTAAATTGTCTTGTTTCAAAAACTCATTTTCACGCCGAGAGGATATACTATCTTATAACAAAAGCTTTTAGATTCTGTCTTCATTTTCATTATCCTTAATCACAATATAGACTTAAGAACCAGGTAACGTCATTAGTGTTCATACTGTAAGTGTTGTAAGACTACCTTCAACGAGAGTTAAAACCGATAGTGCTAAAGATCACAAAGATCACAGAGATTTATTTGTACAATTTTTATCACAAATTTGTTTTCACAAACTCCCCCATAATCATTACTTCAAATTAATATTTCTTAATCAGATTTTGGCGTTATTTGCACGATCTGTATGCGAACAAAACTCAAGTCTGAAAACAGATCCTTAAACCAAAAGTGAAGATCCACTGCTATCGATCCGTACAATCACTATACAACCATGGATTTAAGGTTAAGAAATTAGATAACAGCTACGGACTTTTTAAGGTTATTTTGTTACTTCTATACTCAAAAATGTTGTAATGATAAGCACCTAACTGCATAGATTGCCTCTGATGTGATAAACACAATCTTCTTCTTCTTCTTCTTTCCTTTTCTTCTTTCTACCCATTCCCCTCCTTCTTCTTCTGCCATTTCTTCTTCCTTCTCCCAATTTTCTTCTCTTTCTTCGCGTCCAATGCATTTCTTCTTCTCCCCTCTCCTCCTCCCCTTTTTGTTCTTCTATGGCAATTTATTACAATGCGCACAACTTTAGGCTACTGACGGTTTTTATTACCTACAAATATAATAAAGATATCCCCATAATGATGATTGATGGGTAACCTACCTGCATGGATTGTCTCTGGTGTGATACACCCAAGGTTTCCTCCAGAATGACGCGCAGCTCCTGATGATCGTCGGGGTGAACGATCCCGTAGATGCACCGGTGCACGAGGTCGACATGATGAAAGCCAAGGTGACTCGACATGTTGTCTGTAGCGTAGAGGATTGTTCCATCCACCGTGATGACGAGGAGGAACCCGTCGAGTGCCTAAAAAGAGAGAAAAATATCACAAATGGAAAATTACCTTTTAACTTCATAATTATTATTATATCCTGCATCAAAAATTTGTTGGCTTTTGATTGGTTGAGAGCTCGTCACATGACCAGAAATATTTGACCTATTTTTAGAAAGTACTATATGAAAGTACTATTTTGGTTTACTTTTTGGGAGTTGAAAAAAAAATGTGATTTTTTTTTTTTTTAATTGAATCAATTTTTTTTCTTCGAATCTTAATGTAATGAAAACAAAATATTTAAATCTTTTTAGATAAAAATTGACATTTTTTTTGTTCTAAATTTTTTTTCTTTTGCCTTCTATTTGAGGTACTGGTTAAACTATGGGCCTCGGTGACTCCAAAAGTACCATTTGCTTCGGGGCTGCGCCCCTCAGCAAATAGTACTATTGGAGTCACCTCTTGCGCATAGTTTTAACCAGAACCTCTCAAGGCAGTGTATATTTGTATAGTAATAGTCACATTTGTATAGCGCTTAATTCTGAGTTTCTAAGCGCTTTAAATTGTAACTATCGACACATCGAGACATTGTGAGCAGCAGATGACAGTATAGTAATCTGAAGAAGTGTTAGTAGAATACTCTGCCTTTAATTCCCTATTCATTTGTCGGTAACTTGACCAAACAAAATCACTGAAATAGGAATAAGTTTATAAGATTCTTGGATAGACTTTTGTTTTGACATCATCATCATCATCACTATCAAGATAGATTATTCAAAATCATTATACAACAATCTAAAGAGGCTCATAAAAAGGCCTATTTATCATGAAAGATAATGATCAATAATATTTTAGAAACTCTAACAAATAAAGAAATCGAAAAGTGAGAGATAAAGACGAAGAGAGAGAGGGAGAAAGACAGAGAAAGAAAGAGACAGAGATCGAGAGAAGGAAAGAGAAAGAGAGAGAAGGAAATAGAAAGAGAAAACAGGAAAGAGAGATCGAGAGAAGGAAAGAGAAAGAGAGAGAAGGAAAGAGACAGAGATCGAGAGAAGGAAAGAAAAAGAGAGAGAGAAGGAAAGAGAAAGAGAGAGAAGGAAAGGGAGACAGAGAATGGAAGGGGGATAAAAGAAAGAAAGAGAGAGCTAGAGAGAGAGAAAAAAAGTGGAGTGGAAAAGGAAACTCGTACTGCATGGGACGAGACTGTTTAATCATCATTACTTAATACAAAGGGAATGCTGATCTAATAAACCGCCCCAAAAATCTGTCAGCATACCAAAAAGAAAAAGAAAGTAAAAACACGCTGGGGAAGCTCCAACTCATTGACTCCAGCACCGAGTTCAAATACGGTTACTTCTTGTGCACAATCATGACAATAAAATGCCGAAATTCGATAATGTGCTCCGGTAATACCCCAATCAAGAATGTATAAAATCGCTATTTACGGTTCTTAATTGCACGTGTAGCTTCTTAGCTTTCTACAAAGATCAGACCTTAGAATGACATCACAACCATATTGAATTTGGCAATCCGGAGAAATTAATATCTTGATGACCGGGTGCCGACACGGGAATCGCATTTTTATTTAAAAAGTCGACGAAATACAATACACAACGAGATATCAGGGAAATCTGTAACAAGAAAACTTCACACAAAATTCCTCTAGTGACCCGTTTCCGACAATTATCGTCTTGAAGCACACTTCCTTCTTGCTAAACGTAATGTTTCACTACCCCCCCCCCCCCCGACTCCTTCCTCCGCGACACCGAAGTATTTGAATGATCTAATTAATTATTATTATTTTATCTATTTATTTACCTCTACAAATAGCTTGCCATAGACAAAACACGGCGTAAACAAAAGATGGCGACGCCCACTCACCCGCTTGTGACCATTTAACTTTTATTCTACAAATATCGTTCTAATCTAGATTTCCTAGGACCAATCGTAAGCAATTTGTGTTATTTCCGTTATTTTAATTGTTGAGACAATTATCAGTGACATGAAATAGCTACGCTTCCCGTCTCCTTTCTGAATGGGTAACACGGAACTGCTTGATCTTGTCTGTTTAGTCCCGTGCCATTTAGAACTGCGTAGTGTTTAGATGAAACCCTTGATTGGCCGTCGCGTCGCTGCTGTTTAGCGTACGACTACGAAGTGTGACTTTTTGCAGAGAGGAATAAGGGAACAAACATGGTGTATGCTTTCATCATCCACACGCTACCTCCTGATACATGTCGGGTGCTGTTTTCTTGCACATTCGGACTGGAAGATGCCGGGGTTGACGACCATCGAATCGAGAACGAGGGCGATGTCACAGAAATGAGAACACTTCGGAAAGAACAGATGGCACTAGTGGCGCGTCAAGTTCAATCAGAATTCTCCTTCCAGAAAGCAGTGTCGGAGCGAGTAACCTACAGTGATGGCTTAAGCAGTGGTCAGGAGGACTGGATGCGAGATGCAGAGCTGGGGATGTTCCGACTAGCAGCCGGCGATCCCTTTAAGACAGAGAAAATCGCCGTCTGGTTAGGAGCGGGAAAGACAGGATTTATCCTTGTTTGTGAGACACATGAAAATCGTCTGCAGGTGGAAAATCAATTGCGTTTGTTGGTGAAGAATTTGCAGGAGCATGTGAAGGCAGTACGTCAACCAATTGAAGTGCTTGAGAAGGGGGACCGTGTTATGGCAGTTCTTCATCATTTCTTGCCGTCTGGACGCATTATATTCATGAACCATGCTTTAATCAAACAAACTGAGAAGGAACTTGATATTGCATTACGGATGAAATGAAGAAGTATCCCTTCTGTAATTTTTTTTTCTTTTTCATTCCCCCCCCCCCCCCCCTCTTTTTTATTATAAAATTTCATGTATAATAAGAGTATGATTTTTTACTTTGATACAAGGTATCTCTGCATATGCCATTTGTTGTCTTTTTACTGTACATTTTTTACTTGCATGTTATTTAAAGTAAAACTAAAGTGTTTGCAAGTCATGCATTGTAAAAGCTTGGATGTTTTGAGTTCATTCATTTCATTTACAGTCAATGTTTTGTTCATTTGGTTTACAAATAATACAATATTGTAATGTTAAATATCCAGTCATAATCAATTGTGTGATAACTGACAGTATAAAGTCCAATGGAATTGTCTCTTTTACATTCATGAATTTTCAAATATATATATAATTATATAGATGTCTAGCTTAGCTACATAGTTTATCAAACATGTTAAGCGTGTATGAGGGCTGTAAAGAGTACAGCACATGTAGTGTAAACGTAATTCTCTTAACCACAGGGTTTGAACACACTGTTCTTTTATTGTTACATATGGAATTCATTATGCAATGACCTGGTAGAGATTATGCCAATAAAAAAATGTGTATGTTTGTTTTACCGCTTTAGGTTCTACAGTATGGGCAAAATCTAAATCATGTGCAGGTACATATAGACGTGGCAGTCTCATCCTGAAATATATGTACAATGTTAAGTCTATCAGAATAGGCCTAATTGTATTCTCATAGAAGATGATTATGTGATATTATCTTAATTCGCCTTTCACCTTAGCCACATGCAGTTGCCATCGATAGATATAATGAGGTAGATTTAATTATTATTATGGTTACATGTTTTTTCATCAATATTGAATACATGTTGTTGTACATGTGTTCTACTCATGTTACATGAATAAAGGGTGATATACTTTTAGAATTTGTCACCACAGATTGTTATCTTGCTTTCCATCGAAAGATGTCTGTATACCGTGTATGTATCAACAGCACCCAGGCACGTTGAGTGTGTGTGGTTTATTTTTAACAAGGGAGTGGGCGGCCGGGCCTGTTTAAAGAATCAAAGTCTGAAATGGGCATTTGTCTATCAGATTAATCTAGCAAACATCAACCAAAGAGCTGCATATCCTTTTTTTTCATCTGTCTCTCCCCACTCTATTTGCCTCTCTATCTCTCTCTCTATCTCTCTCTCTCTCTCTCTCTCTCTCCTCTCTCCCTCTCTCTCTGTATCTATCTATCTCTCCCCCCTCAACTATAACTGCCTCTCTCTTTCTCTATATAATTATCTTTATCTTTATCGATCTCTACATATCTATCTCCTATGATTGTCCTCTTCTGTCGCTCTCTCTGTCATTTTATCTCTCTGTATCTCTGTCCGTTTCTCTTCCATCTCCCCCTCTCTCTCTCTCTCTCTCTCTCTCTCTCTCTCTCTTTCTCCCTCCCTCCCTCCCTCTCTATCTCTTTCTCTCATTCTGTCTGTCTCTCTATCTCTCACCCCCTCAATTCCCGATGACGGTGTTAAAAAGGCCACTACCCTTGACGTCTTGTGTACATTGTGGGAGATTTTCTCGAGTGTTTTCGACGCGAACTGAATGAGAATTGGTAAAAACATCCGACTCGTCTTAAACAAACTGTTAGATATGACGGCTAGCTCAAGAAGGTTTGAGAGTTTGACCAGACCTAAGTTACACTATTGACCCATATTCGGTATCTGAGATGTAAAGATAAGGACGAATAACGAGGAAAATCTAGTAGAAAGGAGTGAGAAGACAAGGAGAGAGAGAGAGAGAGAGAGAGAGAGAGAGAGAGAGAGAGAGAGAGAGAGAGAGAAGTTGATAGCAAAGAGACAGAAAGGCAGATAAAGAGAGGAACTGAGAAAACTTTAGAAATTAAGAATTACAGAAAAAGATGTGTCGGGGTCTTTGAAAAAAGTTATTAACGAGAGAAATAATGACGGTAGAGATATGAATTGTGATGTCAAACGTTAAGTTTGAGAAATTAGAAATATGAGTTGAGAACAACTTGTTATTTCTTATGATTATGATTGTAGAGGAGGAAACGGCGGAGATTTTTTTGTTTTTAAGAGAATGACAAGACGCTGAAAAAAGAGCTTCCGGGAATAACCAAAAGGAATTATATTCTTCAGTGATATATATATATATATATATATATATATATATATATATATATATATATATATATATATATATACCTCATTTCCTAAAAAGTTTTTTAAAAATCAAACAAGATTGTTTCTGAAATAGGGGATGCTTTGGCGGAGATTTTCGTTTTAAGAGAATGACAAGACGCTGAGAAAAGAGGTTCGTAATAATCAGAAAATAATTGTTTACTTCTGTAATATATGTTTATACCTCATTTCCAAGAGAGTTTAAACAAAATCAAAAGGCTACTCCCCCCCCCCCCCCCCCGCACACACACACCTTTATTATTATGCTACAATATCTATCCTGGGCACACCCTTACCTCCAGAGATAATTGCGTCTCTAGCTGACCTTCCAGTCGACTGGTTGGTAGCGGAGAGCCATCGGCAGAGATGGGCTGTTCTCCGGGAAACTCTTCCTTGATAATGCTGCCATCGGGTAGTTCAATTGTAGCCGCATCGGACGATGGTTGGAGTGACTCGAGGCCCGCAGCTATTTGAAATGAAAAGAAATAAAGAGATAGGGCAGGGGGTTCAGGTATTTGATATTTACTCTTTGATGGAATGATATTTGATGTTTGTTTAACGTACATCCCTGATGAATAGAATGAACGCATAGTATAGTAATTTGTATGTTATTTCTGTTTCTGCCCCCATCAAGCCCTTCAAAGGTAGCTACTGCTGATTATCGATGAATGATTGAATTTTTATTTTTCATGAGTACTGGGTAAGCAATTACATCATTGTAAGTATATTTTTAATACTAATCTTATATCTCGAAACCCCATCAGTATACTATTCCCATCTTCCAAAGATGGAGAAAAAAATTGTGGATTGTGCGCCATAAATACAAGACTCCTGAAAGTTGCGAAATGCTTTATTGAATTAATAACAATTAAGTCGTTTCGATATTCACAGCACAAGACAAGTCTCACATAACTGTCCTTTACTTTATACACCAATTCAACAAATGAAACAGTTAGTCACAATAGAATATGAAATGATTATTGTGATAACAACGTAATAGGAGAGGAACCTGCTAATGCACTTTTTCTCGCGCCGATGATAGAACGTGTACTTTTGAAGCCCATTTTCTTTCAATTAAAGATGAAAAGAAAAAACGGGTGATATTAAATATGGCGAAATTTGCGTTTAGATGGTGGGAAGCTATCCGTCCCTGAAGCCATCGGGTTCTTAACTAAACCCTCCTCCTTGCGGCGGCGACTCAAGGAGCTCTATATTATCATCCATCGCTTCTCCGGGATAGCCCGAAATCATATTTGGTTTGCGTCAAAAATCAGGGGCATAGGAAGGTGGCTAGGGCTTAGGGGGGTTGGTATTATGATGATACAGATACATGCGATAAGATCATCCTCAACTTTTAGCGTCATTATTTCTAGATCTTAGGTACGGGTATATAAGGAGTAATTTCTATATTTCAAATGAACATATTACAAACGTTACTAAGTCCATGTAGTGTGGAGTCCATAGAGTGTATCGGATATACATACACATATTTTCAGCAACACCGTATAAGAATAATTAACTAAACATACACAACATGCACCGTGTCCTTGGTTCGTTTGCTTCTTTGTATTTTTGAAGTATGTACCCATCTAATGCATCCCCTCATTTGCATAGTTATACTGATGTGATATTCTATTTCTATCTAAGGACGACGATGAGAGTTATTCGATGAGTTTTATTTCATTTCGTTTTATTTCATTTCATTGCATTGATTTTTTAGTTTTTATTTCCAAAAAATAATATCATAATAATCAATACTTTGCAAAATTTTACCAAAATGTTATTACACTTGAAATAGAGAAAATCAGTACAAAAATGAACACCCTTGGAAAAGTAGAATAATCGCAAATAAAACCTGATCTACGTGTATTTTCTGTGGAAATGGAGTGTCTAATTCACTTACAGGGAGGAGCTACACCCTGCCAACACCCATTCTCTGCGCCTTGCTTTTTGATTAATCAACACTCTAAAATGGGAAATAAGAAATGATACCTACAGAGAAAAAGACCGGAAACTTAGCCCAGGGAAATGGCCCATTTTGCTCGCCATTGTTGTTATCCCGACCAAGAAGGAATCCCCTTTCAGAATAGAGTATTAATATAGCAAGCCCGTGATTGGTTTCTGATACAGCCGATGGTGTAGAGTAAGGCGCCATTTTGGAATGAGGTAAAATGAATGATCGCACCTCTTTTCGATCAAAAGCACACAGATTCTATTGTTTACAAATAAACTTTAGTATCAATCTTGAACTAATGCATTTTAAGCCAGATGTATCTCACTAAGTTTCTGTACTATATAGGTAAGTATCTGTTTAAAAACAAATATAATAATTTTTGACCTTCCCATCACTTTATATTTCTTCGAAAAAGAAGAGTAAAAAGAAATAAACCGATCTAATCTATTATTGTTTACCAAAACGGTCAAAGCGTACATACACGCATGAATTATATAAATACCATTCTCGAACGTTTGTCGAAGAACTTTTTTGTTTGTTAATCCTGTTTTTTCTTTTATTTTTTTCTTCAATTGTATGTAACATGGATTTATCTTTTTTGTAATTCATTTTTTTTTCTTTGTAGATAATATGTAATTGTTATTGATGTTCTTTTTTGTAAAGCTGTCTTCTTTTGTGGCTGAAGGTAGGTTTTTTTTTTATACCGTATTGAAATAAAACAAACAAACGAAGTTATGAAAAACAGAATAGAATAAAACATGTCGATTTTTTTGGTGTTATTCTTAAAGTACACATAGTGATGATTTAAAGCACTCGATTGTTTTGTAATTAGGTATATCATAACTACAGTGTGTTTGCAAGATATTTGCAGTAAGAAAAGCAACATACTATAAATTCTATACATCTCCACAAGCTTTAACTTGTGGTAAAATAATTCGATAAGTGAATATATTTGTCCTTTCCAGAAAATGAGAAACAATAACACCGCGAGTTGTGCTGGTGAACACAAACATGAAATTAATGCTCCGGAATGGAGGGGGAATGGAGGCGATAATTATATCTGACCTTCTTTTTTTAGCACATAATTGGTGCAGTTTTGTGGCCTGATTATTTTCAATTAATGTGATTATCGTCACTTTTTAATCCCGAGTGGATGTCTATCGTCATGACTTTTATCGAGGTAATCGCTAATCATTATGAAAATGATAAGGCATTGGAGTCAGACACGTGAGGAAGGGGCATTGGATATCCGTTCCCCCACCTCTCGATTATGATATTGCAAAATAAAACACGATAAGAGCTTAAGTTTTTGTATCGTCCCTTCCTACATGTGATTTTAGAATGGGTTTCACGTTGATCATATAGATAAAATAGATGATATTAGTATCAAAAAATAATACTGAGTGTAGGTAAGTCTTGCGATATTAGATTCTCTGGGTAATATGTGTACATGCATTTCCAATATGCATTGCAGTGCAACACTCGGCTTATCAATCTTGTAAACACGTAGATGAAATAGAAAGAAGACTTCTGTCCTCACAAATACCTAAATATTGAATACTTGAATACTTGGTAGCCATGTCCACGTTAGGCAATGCATATTTTCATATAAAAACGATGTCCATCTCCCCCCCCCCCCATCCCCCTTAATACTAAGGAACCAGTAAACGCCCCAGATTTACAAGGGTGTATGACGGTACAGAGCGGCATATAATAATTGCTTAATTTTGCATCAAATCAAAACAAATCTCGTAAAAACAAAGGAAAGGAAGAGTAATATTTACATTTGACTGAAGTGGTCGACAAGGTTGCTGTATCATATCCACATCCATCAACTCGTGCTGTAATTAAGGAGGGTAATAACCTTTGCAGTTTGTGATTGTAATCTATTTTTACCAATTTAAATTGTACATGTTTGTAACAGAGAAATTCTGGATTTTCGTATTTTATCATTTTAAACATGTCCCCCCGAAAACGGCACATTGGTATGGGGTATTTGGTAAGTAAGAAATTATACGAACAGAAATAAATAGAGACAGAAAAAAAGGACGAAGAAGAACAATAAAAAGAAGAAAGGAAAGGCGAAGGAAATAAAAAGGAAAAAGAAAAAGAAAGAAAGAGAGAAAAGAAAGAGGGGAAGCGGGAAGAAGATGAGATAACAACGAGAAACTTAGATAAAAGATTGAAAGATAAACATAAGAGAAACAACGAGACTGTCATTTCATTTGGTGAAGTAGAAGAAAGGGGTGTATCAAATTCAAATACAACCAGAGACACAAAAACAAACGATATGGGACGGATAAATTAAGAGAGAAGTAGAGTGTATGCATCAACATACAGGGAAAGCAGAGACGTGTATAAATTCACAATGACAGATTCAGTAATTATTGTGTAAGCTTGCATAATTTTGTCAACATTTTACACCTCCTGACATTGAATGACAGCTAATATCCACCGGAAAAGATGTGTGTATTTACAACAAACTATACAACTAAATCACAATCACATATTAAACAGATACAAACGCTTCACCTGGCAAAACATAGCTATAGCATCAGCTATCATTACTATACCAAGATTTGATGATTACATAATACGCTTGATAAGAGAAATGTCCGGATTAAAAATGTCGGATTTGTGGATGTATTACTGTTTCAAAATAATAAGATAATGATGATGACATTAACGGGCACTGTTCTAGACGTGACCCATTAAACTTACAGACTAGGGGCAACCTTCGTGATCAGTTTTTGTGCTTCCAGTCTGCTAAAATGAAAGGCCTCATATTATGCTAAAGTTCTAGATCCCATTCTCGAACATTCGACTTCTGATTTGGTACGAGTGACCCCCAAATATGCAGAGATCTTTTACACATGGAGACGTCGCACTTTTTGCATTTTAGAATAGTCACTGTCAAAGTAATGAAAATGCTCCATGAATACCTTCTATTTTTGCTCTGTTGAGAAGAATACTTCCACCAGTGTATCAGAAAATGTGTTGTCGGTGAATAAATGAATAATGATCGTATAATTTTCTAGAGCACTAATTCAATATTCGTCTCGGTGGGTTTTCAATTTTGGTACAAATGACCTTTATCTGCCCATGCGCAGATTATATCTACTATTTAGGCCTAACTGGATGCCATTATAGCTTAAAGTATATATATATATATATATATATGCGTGACTATTAAAGACTTCCAAAGAAAAGAAAGTAATATCAGATATGATGGAAGATAATTTTGGGTATTAAAAGTGTAGATTAAAATTGTCATGCTCTCTCACTCTCTCTCTCTCTCTCTATATATATATCTATCTCTCTCTCTTGGTATGTACATAAACATACCTTAACCGGATGAAAAACATTCTCATTTCCAATACGCAGAATGCAATATCCATCATTTTCAAAGCACTCTTTTATTACTTTGTTCATGTTCATGGAGTGGCGCACATTGAGCGGCGCCAAATTGTATTACCTTACACACTGTCGTTGACGCCACCAAGCAAGCACATAATCATACCCAGCACAGCTCACATTATTCCCTTCCGTTCCCATCATACAGGCGTTGCAGTCGAGGACTTGGACAAATCTCCTCGTCTACTACAGAAGGACCTGATCACTCATACTTCTCATGTTTGGACCCTCAAGTATGGTGGTGGAACAACTCCGAGACACTCTAAAAACTTCCGAGACTAATACGTCATAACACCCTTTTCTATTTGAAAAACCCTCCAAAGCCGTTCATATTTTTTTAGTGGTCTGTTTTTGTCTGCATGGTGTTTTCAACTTGAACCCTGTTTTCACATGTGGTTGAACTTCAAAAGTTAAAAATAAGTTTTGTTCCTTTGGTGACATATAACATTAATATCTTATAATAAATGATAATTATGTACTGCTGATACATTTGCTATGAGTTTGATGATTCAAAATGATTACGATTACAAGTGTATTAGTGGTAAGTCACCAGCGATATTTTTTTAGAGGTATAGTAATTTTAATTTGGTCAGGGTTAAATGTTAATGATACGTTCATAGGAGAGAAATAGAAAACACCAGAAATGAACAGATAAAACGAAACAAAATAGAAAATTAGAATAGAAATACACTAGAAATTATGAAACAAATGGCCAGCATTGCCGTCACCAAAAACAAACACAAAGAAAGAAAGGAAATCAGTGCAAACTGGCGCACCTTCGCTTGTGGTATACAATTAATTGTAAATTTGAGCAGTCAATGAATCAGCAACAAATATAATCTTCTGAGGACTACATCAGTTGACATGGTTCTTATCTGACGGGTTTCCGCTGTGACCCCATGACCCCCTCTCATACTGTTTGTCTTCCGCCACAAACAAGCTGAAATAATCTTTTTAATCCGGATAAATTGAGATCTAAACGGTTTACAAATTAACAATTCTGTTTCTCAGATTCAAACTTCAGGTTGTCATTCATTTTGATTGATAGGTCCGTCTTCTTGCCAGACGAAAACAGGACAGAAAACACTGAAAAGGAGGATGCGTGTGTTTTTTTTAAGACTGAGTTCTGATAAAAACTAATGTGCAAACGAATTTGTGAGCTGTTCTTTTTATTCCGCTTGAATTGCGCTCATATTCCGAGTGCGACTAGAAATAATAAATTTTGACAAAGTTATGATTTGTAGAGTCTCATATATCTTTCACTATTTATGGCATAATTAATCTACATCAGTCCTCTTCTTCCTTCTTGTCGTTTTAGTTTTCTATCGCTGAACATAATTTGTTCTAGTCTCTAAAGATGTATAGATTTCCCCCATTTGATTACCAAAACAATATTGATTTAATACAATTTTTGTATTGAATAAAATTATTGTTTTAAGAATTGGCATGTATTCTCTATTAAAATTACTATAATATTTGTCTACAAAGTATCACTTCCGTCTTCGTGTTAAGTAATTTTCTAGTTTTTCTCATTCAACTAGTATGTCTATAAGTTCATTGGTATAACCCATATGCGTGTTTCTGATATTCCGAAGGCTTTTTGTGAAAGCACTTGAAAAAACCGAGAAATTCATAAGAACGAGTACCATAACTGGCCTTTTGAACTTCATCCCATATTCTTTTTAATTATCAGGCATATCCTATGCTGAAAAAGCACATTTCTTTTAAACGTCTGAACTATAATTATGGTTGTAATTAGTCAATTCATTTTACGTGAAGTAAATGATGTTTCTCAAAACTGAGAACAACATTCGTGATTTCAATTTAGATCTCTAATGAGTTTCTCCCCGACATGAGTCCAAGATTATTTTTCTAGCATTTTATTTTTTTATTTTTCTCTTGTGTCATGACATTGGCATTAATAGACAAAGGTGAAATAATCTTAATTACTCCAGAAATCATTGAAATTATTTCATCATGTGCTGAGATTCCCATGTTGAAAAATATCCACAATGATTCACATGTGATACAATTCTCAACATTCTAATTCCAAGAGTGGGAGAAAGTACTATACAACATTTAATGAACAGGCTTCTCTCAAGCTATTTGTCTTAAGGGTCGTACACTAATAATTAATGTTGGTGCACTTCAAACCTAATGTTCTCGCTTTCAAAATGAATTGCTCTACTTCATACCCGCTTCCCACCCGCTTCCCAACCCCCAACAATGCAAAGAATCACTCATGACTTCAAGTCTAAATTAACAAAGAAAGGTAAGATGCATTTTTAAAAGGTAATGCTCAAAGCAGGCAGGCAGGCAGGCTACGTGTGAATTTCAGTGTTTTACGAGCCATGCAGAGAATTGGTTCGTTTTTAGAAGAGCAATAATTCTTAAAGATGCTACGCATTGAAGTGGCTATCAGAGTAGCGGCGCGTGTGAGCTCTGCCTCCCTCAACTTCTCCGATGAGCCTTGGGAATGCGACACATGTTTACTGGGAATTGTCCACCCTTTCTAGAAGAAAAAAAGGAAAAAATCAAGCGCTGAAGGAAATGACATAACCTATTATACGTATATGTACAACTACATTATTTTGTGTGGGCAATTGTGTGCCTTACCTTCTTTAAATGAAATGTTTATCTAAACCCTTTTCCGGTTCCCATCTTATATATATTTTAAAGGGATTATGATCTTCGCCTTTTAATTTGGAGGACATGTTTGTGCCAATCTTCACAGAGATACCTGATCATATTCTTTTGCCAGCCAGCATCGTTCTTTGACATTTTGTGTCTCGATCAGATCATTTTTAAGAATCATGTCTTTTGAAAGTTTCTTCTCAAGAAACATGGTTTGTAGCGTATTTAACAAACATTAGACATGTTGAGGAGAACGAATTATAATGATAATGTTAACATTTCCAAATTCAGGAAATAGATTTATAGATTTGAAGTCATTAAATACACTAGGCCTATATTCTAACCATCAAATCATCCTAAAAAGTTGCTATCGGAGAAGTTGTCATGGGCTAATCGGGGAAGGGACTCTGTATTTATAGCCTTTAACATTTTTTTATAGGTATATTTTATGCATTGACGTCAACTCATTTAAATCTTAGACTATCTTTGACTACGGACAAACTTTTGTCTTTTAAGCATGGGAGCAAGACGCAAGATTGAACAGAAAGCCGAGATCGAATCCTTCAAATATTTTAAAACTTGCCATTCAAAATTTCTCGACGTTCTGAATAATATCAAATATATATTGTTATTCCGTTTTCATAATCGATTTTCCATTTGCGCAATTCTTTCTTCTAATGGCTCAAACTTGAAGATTTTATTGATGATATACTTCACCTGACTGTTAAGAAAAGCAGGTTAGACTATAATATAGTCATTTAGACAAAAGCGAGATGCGTTTTTCCCCCTTCGGAAATGAATTATATACTCCGCTGTATTTTGTCTGTAAAAGAAAGACTTTTAAGATTTGTCAGCAAAGGTACTCTTTCACTTTCAACCTCTGTCCTATTTTATGCCTCGTTCGGGTTGCTTTCTAATGCATCCATTTCGCATTGAGTGATGTATCGCTGCCTGCATGGCGTTTTGTTAAACCAAGAGGCTGTATCGTTAACGCAGTAGCTATAATATACTCCCCTTGCTTAATATTTCAGGACGATGATAATGCGAGGAAAAACCAGCGTAAATCGGTGATTATTACTCGAATGATCTATTTACTACATTGTCCCTCGCGGTAGTTCCACCCCTCGCTCTTCACTCTCCATGCGAGGAGTTACGGGGGATATTGATGACTAGGCGCTGCTAATGGTTTGTAAGCTCGCGGGCATTCGCTAAAACAAGTGCATACGCTGCCCAAGCAATTTTGACAGTCTTTTCTGTTTAAATGAAAGAGGTCTGTTTTTGTTTTGGATAATAACCACGACAAAAGCATTTTGAATAACTTCGATAACAGACATGGAAAAGGCAGAGGTCATTTGTATAGATGAGGCCGAACTAAAACAATTTTGCAGTTGTGAGAAAAGAGAAGGGAAATTAAAACGATTTTTTTTTTTTTTTCTTTCAAGGAATCGAATAAAAACATAAAATCAATGAAATAAGAGAAAAAAGAAAGAGGGAAAATAATAAAACATTACATCTTAGATGAGAAGAGGAAAAAGGGGGGCGACATGATAAGTATACTTATATCTTTCAGTATCTAGCTTATGAAAGAAATAAATTTAACATCGTTCTTGCCACTGCCTAATTGTTAAATTGTTAAAGCATTGAAACTTCTATCAATAATACATTTTAATTAATGACGATGTAAGTGATTTTTGAAGAAGTAGTCTACACGAGTATTAATACATGTTTTAGCTAAACAATCAAATACATTACTTTGTTGCATGCACATTTAAAAAAAGAGGGGAAAGGGACCCAAATCAATTAATTGTTTATGGTTTCAGTAAAACAAAATTACATGCGACTGTCTAACC